GGTCTCCTCATTGCTTAATCCTGCTGAATCTGTTTCTCTCTGCCTCCCTCCTTCCCTCGTTGCCCTGCAGATGGAGAGGGGACCCCTCCCCGGCTCCAGCCCCCCAGCTCCCCCCAGCTCCGTCCAGCCACTGCTCCTCCCAGAGCACTCCTCTGTAATCGCACCGCTGATGGATGCAGGCCCGAGTCCCAACATGCCAGCCCCTGCTCTACTGGGATGGCACTTCCCTGGCTGGGTGCAGAGCCTTCCCAGTCTGAGAGAGGAGGCCGGTGAGCCGAGAGAGGAACCAAGCCCCGCCCCCTCTTCTCTGCTCCCCCTGTGGGCTCTCTTCCTTCCTCTCCACCTTGCTGTGCACACAGGAGCCTCCGACTCAGTGGCCGTCAGCCCAGCAGCCCCGCCAGGCCTGGCAGGCGCGGGACACCGGCCACGGGCACCAGCCACGGTTCCGGCAATCACCCTGACCTTGACGCATGGACTCTTGCTTGTCTGCTCCCGGCTCCTGGTTTTGGGGTCTGCAGAGCAGTCCTCCTGCCCGCCTCACCCCAGGCTCCCATGTTTAGGATCCGGCCTGTCCCCTCTGTTGCCCCGGCGTCTGGGGTCCCCTGTTGCTCTGAATGGGAGGCTCCTCACTTCCCTAAGCTCCAGGAGCACTGGTGGCCTCCTGTGGAGTTGGGCTGGGGACTGAGATGGAGACGGGGACAGAGGAAGTCGAGGAAGGTGTCTGCCCAGCCCAGACCTCCTTCTCTGAGCGTTTCCCCACCAACAGTGGTGGCATGGCGGCCATGATTTCCCGGGTGGCCTTGTCCTTCCCTGGCTGTGCTGATTGGCCTCTCGGGCTGGGCACCTGACCTGAGCTGGGCCAATCAGCTTCTCTGTCCTGGGAATTTGGAGAATTGAAAGACGGGTCAGGCTCCGTAGGGCTGGACGCAGGGCAAGGGCTGAAGTGACTGCCTGTATTCAGAAGAGCCGAGAGGGGCCCAGAAGAAAGACTTTGGAGCTGGGACAACCAGAGAGAGAGGCCATCCTGGCTGCGATGGCTCCCCAGTCCCAGCAGTACCTGCATCTGGGTTCAGTGAGACACCCTTATATCCTTCCACGTTAACAAGCTTCCACGCCTTGCCTTGTGAGTGGGTTCTGCCTTTTGCAACCACACAGCCTCCAGATAGAGCTTTTAAAAATGCAACTCAGGTCACAGCGCTCTTGTGCTTGGCTCCCTCCAGTGACTTCCCAAAGCCCCAGCCTAACTCCTCGGGTCTGCCCCAGCCCAAGGCCTGCGTGACCCAGCCCTGCCCTCTCCTCCAGGGCCCCCTCCTTCTGTTCACCCAGCACCCACGTAGCCCCAGGCCTTCCCGCCTCTTTGCTGCTCCCCCGGTGCTCCAAGTATATCCCTGCCCCGGGGCCTTTGCACTTGATACGCTTCTCCCTGGGATGCTCTCCCCCTGGATCCTTACATGGCTGGCTTGTCTTCATCAGGCCGTAGCTGGAATGTTCTCTCACTACAGAGAAGGCCTCGGTCACCTTGTCGGAGATGCCTCCCCGCCCCCGTCCCTCCACCCCAGCTCCCTGTTTTGTTTCATTCAGAGTGCATGTGGCCACCTGGTATTTACCTATTTGTTTACTTGTTTATGGCCTGTCTCCTCTTCTGGAACTTCCTGTCTTGTTCGCACTGAATTTTCAGTGCTTCGAACCGTGCCCGACACATGCTTAATGAAGATTTGTTGATTGAATGCAACAAAAGCGGTCCGCGGGCTGAGAGACTCCGTGGGGCTTGGCCGGGGTTGCTGGGAGAGGGGTAAAGGACCCACCTCTTTCTCCCCGTGTAGGATCCTGGCTGCTCTGGCCCAGCAGGTGACAGCTCTAAAGGTCTCCCAGCTGTGGGTGGAGTGCGGGTGGCCGGGCTACCTGGAGGTGGTGAGTGCCGTGGGGGTGGCTCGGATCCTCCGGTCCCCTCCGGTCCCCTTCTGAACTGACATGCACTCCCCCCACTGGATCAGTGTTCTTCCTCTTGGGGACCCTGGGGATGATTTCTCTCTCTCTCTCTCTCTTTCTCTCCCTTTCTCTCTGCCCCTCCCCTGGTTTTGCTTGCTGTCTCTCTGTCTCTCTCTCTGTCAAAAATAAATAAACATAAAAAATGTTTACATTGTAATAAAAAAAAAATTTCCCCTCACCCCCTAGAAAACAATCCCTGTTTTCCCTAGAGTCCTTTAGTAAAGTGACCATGGTTCAGATTCCCCAAGATCGGGCGCTTTGGCCTGGGGAAGGGTCTCATGTCTGGGAGCGAGCCTCTTCTGGGATAAGCTGGCACGTGAGGGTGAGTTGCCTTCTGCCTCTCTCTCTCTGCTTTGTTTTTAAAACTCCATTGTATGTATTAGATACGTCATCGCATGATGATCCTGTGACCTATTAGATACGTCATCGCATGATGATCCTGTGATCCTGTAAAGAGACCACCCTGCCATCAGGCAGCGCAGACATCACAGGCTGGTGGGAAAGCCCCAAGGGTGAAGGTCTGGACTAGCATCATAGGCCCCCCTTCCTTCTGGAAAAATGACTGCCAACTCCAAATTACCTGGGCGAATGGGGAAGAGGCGGGATGGGCAGCCGGGTCCAGAGCCCCCCTCACCTCCCTGCCAGGTAGAAACAGCTAACCGCCAGCCGGTCTTGGTGGATGGGAGCTCAGCGAACTTTCTTTTCCTTCCTTGCCTGTGGCTGGAGGTACCGATGATGAGCAGTGCCACGGGGGCAGAGGGGGGAGCCAGAAGCCCGAGTAATCCACTCCTTGAATAATCAGCCCTGAATAATTGAGAGTTGACAGAGCATTGCACTTGTCTCAGCCTAGAGATGCCGACTCTGGGAGACAAGGAACAGGCAGATGAGAACGAGAGAGTCTGGAGAGAGGACGCGAGATCGGAGATTGAGGCAAAGCAACTTGGGGGTGGGGGGAAATGGTTTTTTATTACAATGTAAACATTGTTTATGTTTGTTTTTATGTTTATTTTTAACACAGAGAGAGAGAGAGCAAGCAAAGCAGGGGAGGGGCAGAGAGAGAGGAAGAGAGAGAGAGAGAGA